ACATCAAATAGTTGTGTAATATCCTCTGTCCTCCGATTTCACAACTTCGAGCTGCTCGTAAGTTTAAGCCTTACTAAGAAGAACAGATCCCACATGGAAACACCATGATCTTTATTATGGGTTTAGACTCTCATGAAAGCTCATGAGCAGGATCATGAATGTGTTTTATGATCAGTTTTTGTAACTGACAACTTTAGGCCAATTAAACAGAAATATGTTTTTCCCTTGATGTTTAGATTAGATCATCCCTTTGAAATTGAATTAAAAAGAAATATCAAGTGTTAAAATAATCCTTAAAAAAAAACTAAATTAAATGGAATTTATGAAATTGAATCCCACAAAAAAGGAAATTATGAAATCTTCCGGATCTCAACCACCACCAAAATAAAAGGAAACTCGGTTTCTTTCCTTGATTTAATCGACAAAGAAAGCTCTCTATATACACTAAAAACTATATAAATTAATACTCGATAAAATAATAAACACTATAAATTAATAATATTTCATGATCCCGAGTTGGGCCAGTTCAAAATATGACACAATTCGAAAAGATAATAAAATAATAACTTTAACAAAACTTCTTCATATATTTATAGTCCCATTATTATCATAAATTAAATTTGATATAAACATATAAATGAGATAATATACAAAAATATAAGTTTTTATTTATTTTTTATATAGAAAACTTTTTGGAACTAATTTTTAATTTTTGAAGAATTTTTTAGATATTACAAACTTCAAAGAAATTTTCTTTTAAATTTTAATAATTAATAAAAAAAATTATTTAAAATTCATAAATTAATAACACTATAAATTAATAAAATATCAAATCTCAACATTATTAATTTATAAAGTTTTTACTGTATATACAATCTTTAAGACTCGGTTTCTAAATTGTCCATGATGAAGAAGAAGAAGCGTACAGAGGCAAATAACCAAACTTTTTCAAACCTTCCTTTCGAACTCACTTTACTAATATTGGAGCGTCTCTCTTTGAAAGACAACATTCGTGCTTCCATTGTTTGCAAAACATGGCAAGTAGCTTGTGTTTCCGTTCGTGTTAAGGAGTACTCAACACCATTGCTTATGCGCTCTCCTTGTAGAGAAGAATACGAGCTATACGATCCATTACTCGATAAAACACATATTTGTAAGTCATCCCCTGTGTTACGCGGTTCACACATTCATTGTTCTACAGACGGTTGGTTACTTGTGCGCCATAGAAATTTCAGAGATACCTTCTTTTTAAATCCATTTACCCATGAACGCATTGGACTGCCTTGGCCTGATATGGGGAGTAGTCTTGCACTAGCTTCCTCATGTGCTCCTACATCGAATAGTTGTGTATTATTTTCTGTCTCCGATTTCACCGAGGGATCCATCACCATCAAAACATACCGTCTTGCTACTAAAGTGTGCACTTCTTTCAAGTTCTCGCACGTTTTCCTAGGATATATGGAGGTTTCAAACATGTTGTTTTCTCCAATGAGTCTTTTATTTATTTATTGACAACCTATTTACTTAGGTTCTAATGACCGCATATGTTGATACTGTTTTCACCGTTTGTTTCATTCTAAAAATGCCA